GAGATGGGTAAGGCCTCGACAGGCCTTGATCGACAAAGGTTTCCGCCGTCGGCATCACCTGTCATTTCCGAGGGGCACCTCTGTAATAAAAGCCAGTACGTAATCCTATCGGGCGTGTCGTGCCCGGGGGGCGATGCTACGTGGCACGGAAAGCGAGAATGATGGCTCTATTTGCAGTGATGGATGCGATCTCAGACTCGGCGGAGTCGGCGTCGAGACGACAGAGTGGCAACAAGAAGCAGCCGGCTGATACCTTCGTACCTGCAGTTCTGGACCTGGTGCTAACGACGGAGGAAGACGCGGAGACGGGGGGATACCACAGCTCCGAGGACGAGCTGGAGGACATCAACGCGTCGGCGGCGAAGCGGAAGCTGTCGCTCGCGGCGGACGAGGAGGACGACTCCGACGAGGAGCTGCTGTGCCCCGTCGAGTTCCGCTCCTCGCCGCCCGAGGACGCGTACCGGCCTTGGCGGTGGCATCTCCCGCCCTATAAACTCTTCGTGCTCTCCTCGGAGGGGGGGAGCGGGGAGAGTAGGGTCGGTCGGGGCGGGTCCGGCCCCGGTCATCAGGGAACCCGGGGCTCGTCCAACCCCGGGTCTCATCACTCCAGTCATCGGCCCAGGCCCTGCCTGGATTTCGACAAGATGCGCCGGGTGAGACATCGCGGCTTTAAGCCGGTCTATCTTCGCTCGCTCGGGTCGCATGCGCCATTTTTTTTTCCATTAGGGATGCAATCGATAGTAACCATATTCGCGAAGTCCTAAGAACTTGATGTCGATCGAGTATTGCTCGCGTGGATTTTTTTCCCTCTCGATGAGGTTTTACCTGTAGTTCCTGTTGCTATTGTCAGAGCTTTCGAAAGAGGATGTGTACGATTGCACGTAGAGATCCATATTTAAAAAAAACTGGACATATTGGACGATCGTGTAGAGACCCTCCCGCCGTCTTCGATCGAAACCGAAACCTGATACGGTACACGGAAAAGCTTTCTCCAATGAAGCATGTTTTTTTTGTGTTGGCAGAACGGTCACAGCAGTTGGTCACCGTGGAGGCATGGGAGCGAACTGACCCTGTCTTGTTCCTGAGATCTCTTTTTTTTTTCCCGGTTCGTTTTCTCCGTGGCATCCTGTGTCGCACGCACACGCCCCGATATGTATGGACATGGTTTTCCACCGTGGATTTGGATATTTGCTCTCTTCTCTTCCTTCCCTGGCTCGTCGGGGAAGCCAAAATACCTTGACAAGAGTTCACTAGTCCTGCGGATTTTTTTTTTTTTGTATAGTACAAAGAGGAGAAGAGAGTTTATTGGATTTTTTTTTTCTGTTGCTGTTGTGTAGTCAGTAGCCAGTAGCCGCGCCTGCTTTTGGAAAAATTTCGTATCCTTGGAGATGCGGAATTTTTGGGGGGAATTTGGAAATTTGGATAATTTC